AAAAAAACAAATTTATACAAACCTGTTATTGTTGTTGTTGTTGTTGGATATGGTTGATACTAGTTTTGTTGGTAATGGTGGCGAAGATAATGAGTTGCTTGTAGAGTTTTGTATACAAGGACTTTCTGATAGAACAGATGTCATTGGAGATGATAAAATTATTTTTGACTGTGGACTTGGCCATGATAATGTTGTTTGTGGAAGAGATGTGTTTGGTGAAATAGATGATAGTAATGGTGGACTAATCCTATTTATAGAACAGACTGATGGCATAATTGATACAAGTGGTGGCGAACGTGAATGTTCACTTTGATTTAAAGTGATTGATGATGGTACGGGTGTGGTTGTCGTTGATGGACGAACATAATCGGCAACATTGGCTAATATATGTGCAACGTCTTCTTCGTGTGTACTATGTTTCTGATCAATTAATTCATTATCTTTTTGATTAACATTGTTTAATAGAGATGTAAGTGGATATTCTTGAATGATAGGTATTTCTGTTTTGATGTCAATTATTTTATCATCGCATTCGACTATATTTTTAATTGTCACTTTTTCGTTTAAAACTATTGAATTACTTATTTCTTCAATCGTATTATCCTTCTTTTTTTCCATACACTCTAATTTTTGAGGTAGATTATCATTATTCAAATCCCAATCACTTTTATCATGCGCATTACCAAGATGATAACGTAATGCTATAACAGATGGGTAACGTTTATAACAATCGGTTTCTGGACATCGAAACATATTATCAATATGACACGATAGAAACGATTCGGTTGTATTTGTTTGAATCGAATCATTTATCGGTCGTAGTTGATTATCACTACTGATATTAATCGGAGGAAAACATCGTTTTTCAAAGAAAAAATTTGTTGTAGTTGCATTTGTTCGGAATGGTGAGTTTAACGATGATAGAATACTATTATCATTGGTCGGATTCAAATCAGCTGATGCACCCGTGGTTTCGTTATTCAACGATTGTCGACGATCATTCAGTGTTGTTGTTGTTGAGGAAGTTATTGTATTACGTTTTGTTTGCCGCGATTTTATATTACGAAGTTTTCTATCACCAGTTGGTTGTTCGATATTAGTTGTTGATAGAGATAGTCCTGTTGCTATCGTCGATGAATTTGATGGTAATGGATTTGATATTGATGGAAAAAGTTGAGGTGCTGAACAACGATTTCCACGTTTGTTTCGTCCATTTTTACTTCTTGTATCAAAATCACCTGTAGGAGATTCACATGTCAATCTTAAACAATAAAACAACAAACTTCTGATAGTTTCGTTTACATTGCTAATCTTAGAAGTTCTCACCTTGGTGCTGCCCAGTTGAGTTTGGTTGAATCAAGCAACGTTCCAACGTATGTTTTTCCGCGCCATGTTACATTGACAACGAGTACACCTAAACATAAAAGCAATATTTCATAGTCAATTTTAGAATACTCAGTTTATATTTCAATCTAAAAATTATTTCTTATTATTAATCGTACAATTTGATTTTTTCTTAAAAATTTTTTTGAAACAATATGCCTAGAACTTTTTCTCTCTGCTATAAGAGTCTAGCTACGCATCAGAACATCCAATTCTAAATTGTTTCCATGTGTCGTTTTCTCTCTGATTTATTTACATTCAGTCATTGAATGTTATGTATCTACTTTTTCATTGCACTAGTTTGAACAATATTTTCTCATTCTACGATTAAATTTATATACATTTATGATCTTTTTTTCTCATTAAGAAGAAAGAAGTAAATAATAGATTATTTTCATCTTATTATGCCAATTTATTATATATTTCTTTCGTTAAGTATGTACAATAATAATCTCCAATTTTAAATATGTTTACTCGAATACTAGAAAAGAAACTTTGATGGTACTTTTAAATAGTGTTCGAGTTTCTTTACGATAAAGAAAAAACATAATGTAATATAAAACAAAAACGATTGGACAATTTTTGACATTCTTTTTTAATAATGAGCCTTATTTTTCTTCAAACCCCCAAGAGATTTTTCTTCGTTTCATTATAAATATGAGCAACATAAGATTCTTCAAAAAAACCGACCAATTTCTCAATCACACATTTATATATATATATATGTCATTTAAGAGGAAAACAATATTTGATCTCAAAAATAGTCGATTTCCCTACTTGGTGGCTAAGATTACATAGTTTCAATGTATTTATCTCATATTTAATATTCCTTTTCAATCTGAATCAATATTTAACATTGTTATGAAATGACAATTGCAACGTCATGCCATCTCACACCTTTCACCACGAAATCTAAGTGTTTAAAATTTTTGTTTTTTTGTTGTGCCTAGTGTATGAAATCTTCAACTCCTATTCATACATTTTAATTTCATTTAACATCTACATTATATATAGACGCACTTAGGAAATAGTTTTCCTTCGTAACGATAACTTTTTTCTTTCTCTCTAATAAACAACATCGAATGTCAGATGTCTTCATTTTATATTCACAGATGTTTTATTCATAATCTTTCTTTTTTTTCCCTTTTTACATAAAAAAAACAAAATACCTTTTCTTTTTGCTAGAAAACACACACACCTTTCGTTGGAGTTGATGACAACTAAATCAATTCTCATGATAGCAATCTATTTTTTTTTTTCTTGTTAAGATATGATATTTTAGTTCTTTTATGTATTGGATGCGTGAATGCACATACAAAAAATGTGTTATTTTAGTGTTGTCTTCTTTGTTCTAAGTTATTATTATCCGTGTCTACATATATGTAGAAAAAGAAAAAAAACATTCGAATATAAATTAGACGAATACAAAGAAGAAAAAAAAAAAAAAAACAGAATTTAACAAGAACATCTGTATGAGTTTCTTTTAACTATTAAATTTTCTGTTTAAGCTTCGTACAATTTATACGGATAATTAAACATGTTGACAGATGTATATCACCATCATCAAAAAACATAAAACAAAAGAGAATGCGCTAATTTTGAGATAACGCATCATATTTAGATTATATAAACCTAAAAAAATGATCATAGATAATAATAATAAATGTAAACAAGGTCATCGCATTTACATCTATTTTCTTCTTTTTTTTTCCCTCAATATTATTACCTTGAATGAATGGAAGAAATATCTAATCTCATCTATTATATCTCTTGTTTGTTTCTTCTTTTAATAGCAATTCATAAAAAAAAGCCAAAAAAAAAAAAAAACATGACATTGATATTGAATACAATAGAAAGATAATATCGCTATACTTTCTTTTCTGTTTTTTTTTTTTTTTCTTTTTTCTCCAATTCAAATATTGACATAATGAATATTAGTGATATTTGTACTCAAAACAATAATACAGAGATACATCAATTATGGATAGAACAATAGGACATCGTTTATGATTAATTGATTTTAATCTCTGTGTCTATGACACAAAACAAATTAATATTTAATATGACACCATATGTGTATTGTAGAATGAGAGAGATCAAGGCAAAAATTATAAAAAAAAATTTCAAACAAAAACAACTAGTTAAAATGATATTCGACAATTATTCATTTTAAAGAGAGAGACGATGACCACGATATTCAATTATTTAAAAGGATATCGATGTGTATTAAAGTTTCCTTTTGTGTAGAAGGATAGAGTTCACACAGTATAAAGATTCGATATCTAGATCAATAGAAATCAGAAATAATAATATATGTTAAATTCTTGGCAACTGTTGATAGGGCAGTACCATACTTTTTTCTACTATCAGGAATTTATACTGCTAAGAAAAATTGTTTTATTTATTATCTACTTATTTCCATTTCCATATATATTTAGTACACACATGAGGATTTAGAAACTTCTATTATTTTCTCCTTACAATTAATCAGATGCTTATTTTCTTTCTTCATTTGATTATTGTCTAGGCTTTACAAAATCTGTTCTTTTTTATGTATAATGTAATGTACATTGTCGTGTTCGTTCTTTATTCATATCGATCAATTTTAACCTTATTGAACGTCAGGGGCTTTTTTTTCGTATAAATAAGGTAAAGATTTCCTTTTTTTCCTCTACTTATTTGGCTGTAATAGTCGATGCAGAATGAGAGAAGAGATTAGCATTTTCAATCTCGATCCCATGATAAAAGCTTTGTCCGGTTTCTCAATTCTACATGATTAGCAAAAAGAACAGTAACAGTTATTTTTCTATAATATTTTCAGCAGAATAAAGGCTAACTCTAATTTTGCAGATTCTTACAGTCAGTCTCACAGTTTAGAAAGAGAGAGAGCAAAGCAAATTTGCGTACAATTTAATTTCTTTTTTTTGTTTCGAGAATCTAGAATACCTGAGGCACAAAACAAAGCATTTTATATTAACACAAACAGAGTGAATATAGATCACACATCCCATATTCATATAAAGTAAATGAAAAAGAAACACTTCTCTTCCTCTATCTCCCTCGCTCTCACTCGTTTCTTTTTTTTTTCTGTTAAAAAGTATTATTTCATCCATAGTATGCATAGGCTATTATTCTACGTCTATATTTCTTATAATATTATTGTGATTATGTATATTTTTTCCATCTCTTTTTCACCAATGATGATGATGATGATTATGATGACAACTTCAAAATAGGGCTTCTCTATTCACTTTAATTTTGTACACATTACACTCCTTATACTTTTATATAAACAAAATTTGACGAACTTTTTACACCTGAAAATTTTTAATAACTCTAATAGTTAGTAGATCCTGTGAAGATGTTATATTTCAACTGGAAAAAAATTGCAATTTTGACAAATAACACTCTTAAAAAGTGACGAATGAGTAGTTATTATGATATTCAAAGAGTTTTTCATGTGTATTAATTTCAAATTAGACTATTAGGACTTTCGTATTATTTATCTTAGAAGTTTGTTAATCTACTATCAAAATTTTTAGGGTATATACTATGTAGATGAAAAAACAGCCTATTTTATTAAATAGACGATAACAAAATTGGTGTGAAAAGTATTTTTTTCCTGCTAAAAGCACCAGCAGTTATGTCGCATATATGACGATACTATTTCTAGATTGATCATAATTAATGAATTTAGATATACTACTATCCATTTAACCCATTAAACGAATATCCGTTGTGTCATAATCTTTCCTTATTATATGTAAGAAAGTATTTGTCATTGATTGCGAGAACAATTAACGGGGGCTCTATTCAAAGAAAAAAAAAATGTAACAGTTTTGTTTTTGTGACAAAAATAATAATATATTCTCTTTTCTTTTTTCTCGTCAACCCACAGTCACTTAAAAAAAGAGAATAGCAAAAAAAAAACGGACTTACCACTGTCAGTTTCATTCCATACAATTCCTTCTAAAACCACAGTTGTTCCCGGTGAACAAGGACCTAAATTATCCGGTTCAGTAACGACACCAATCGATGCTGTTTCAACACTGGCATCCACTTTTTGTAACTAAAAATAAACAAAGAAAAATCATTTTTTGTTTATTAATTTTACATGAACTTCAAATAACGAACAAAAATCTATGCAGTTTTACTGAGCTATTTGCTATTCTTATTTCATTAGGTGGGCTTCATTATTGCCCTTTTCATATTGCTCTTTATTTATCCATAGTCTATCGATGCTCTCTATTCTTCATTATGTATGCACATGAACTCTCCTCTCCACATAGAAGGTATGAAATATTTCAATCTCTCTATTCATCATGTATCGTTGAACGATCGAATCGAACACATGCACACACACACATACACACACGAAAGAAAAGAAGGAGAGAAGAGTTAAAAATAACATGTGTGATTTATTGTACATACAGAAAAAGTAAATAATGACCTTCGTGATGAAAGAAGAATTATTTGCTGTTCTTTCTCTATGTTTTTTTCTTTATAGTAAAAATAATAGATAAATGATGATGATGATGATGATGTGATGATAACCCTTCCCCCTTTAAATGTTATGATCATCAACAGAACAGAAGCTAGAACTGTACAAGAAAGAAAAGAAAAAAACAGTAAGAAAAAAATTATTTGTCTGGTTCCCTTGAACTGCCTCGACGCCCATCCTGTTCGTATAAGAGAAGAGAAAATATTTTCTACTCTACCACATCTCGATGCTTATGTGACCACTTCATAATATTGATTTAGTGAAACAGATAAAGAAAGTGAGAAGAGAAAATAGTAATAATAATGTAGATGAAAGTAAAATGGTTGTTTTCCATCATTTTTAATCGAAAATTAAAGTTACAGACATGACAATTTCTGATAAAGATATAAATGACAACGTAAATTTTTTCACTTGTTTTTGAAGTATACAGCTCTTCAACTAAGTTGATAAACTAAAACCTTTATTCAATACAATATGGCATTACAAACGTAAAATATTTTTAATAGATGTGAGTTCTCTAGAAAAACGGTATAAGACGCGTCATGCATGCATTATTACAATCTCATTCTTCTTCCCTCCGTGATCATTTCATCTTTTTCCAGTTAATCGGATAAGCGTGCAATAATATACATATTAAATAGCTTCTTTTCCTGTACACACATAGCAGAAGAAAAAGAGTGTCATTAACATTTTTTTTTTCATTTTTTTCTTTCTTCTTTGCAAAAAAATCCGACATGAAATATATAAATAAAAATCTTATCTTCGATGAAGAAGAAAAAATGACAATTATTGATAATATTTATTTAGAGATTGAAAAAAAAAACGAAAAGCAAACAAACAAAATGTGTATAAAGGGAGATTTATTTTTTTTTTCTCCTTCTCTCTAAGTAGATGAGAAAGAATCAATTGCAACTAGAACTAGAATGTGAAGAAAAAAAATTTTTAAAAAACAAAACACAGGTAATAAATCTTAATTGGGCAATATGTGAAATAACTTTTACATTGACAACAATCAAAACAATAATAGAGTGTCAATCTCCGTATGTTGTCTGTAAAGTGATTGATAAACATCAATTACAATATAATTAAAAATTCTGCTAGATGGAAAAAATAGCACATTTGGAAGGAGTACAACAACAATCAATAGAGGATTCAACGGAAATTTCATTACCTCAAACACTGCTAAAATAGAAGTAACGTGTTTCTGTGAAGTTCACTCACTATTTGTTCACTCTTTACAGCTGGTAATTTTTAAAATACAGCAACATCTGGCTGAAAAGAGTTAAACAATGATGTTGTTATTTGACACTACGTCATGAAGAGCGTTTCCATCTCGTTTACAGATAATAAAAATAGAAAAAACGGTTATAAAGGACGAAAAAAGTTAGCATTTAGACCGTTTTACCATCGGTGATGGTGATGATTATGTATTTCAAAGGCGAATACTTCAGTTAAAAATTAATTCCGTGATTAATCATATTAACATAGTGACAGATAGGCAATCGTGAGTACTGGTACCAAAATTTTTCTGAGTGTAGGTGGAAAAAGATACTAATTTTAAATCATATTAATCTGTCGAAGAATATTGTGCAATAGTATGCAGACGTCATCAAAACGGATAGAAATAGATTGATAGCTTTATTACATGTTTTAATCGTAATTTTTATCCTAAAAATAGCACTAATGCTGAGAGACAGAGAACAACTGCAAAAATGCACATTTTAAGCTAATTTGTCGAGTAGACCTCACTATCTCACTTACATCTGTCAAACTTCCCCGCACAATCTTCGTTGTGTTGAACTCTGTTTAATCTGTTGACGGATGAGAAAGAAACTAAAGAGGTAAATGAACATTTTTCTTACCTTATCATATTTGAAACGTTTTGAATGTGGCAACTGAGTTTGTCTTTCATCGTTCTCGACGTCTTCTTGTTGATTATTATGATTTGTCGATGTATTGCTATTAGTGCTATTCATTGAAAGGGTACCTTTCGTTTCTTTTGTTTGTTGTTCAATTTTTGAACAATTTTCCGTTGTCGTTGTACAATTATTATTACTATCGATTGACAGACGTTGTAGCTTCGTTTTCGTTTGTTGCTTTTGGCTTTTAATATCGAATACGGGCGAGATAGAACGTTTCGTAGCCGTTGCACCGTTTCGACGTAATCGTTTTTGTCTTAGTATTGTTGTCGTTTTCGTAGTTTTCGATGGATTATTTACTTTTTTTAGACGATTACTCTTTTTTTCTGATACGGTTCCCGTTATTGGAGATAATGCTGTTACTGCGATATTATCGGTATTATTAGTAGTATTAGGACTAGGACTAGTAGTTCTATTTTCGCGATCATCTGACGATAGTGCTGTTGTGGTACTCGTAGTCGAATCATCGTTTTCAATTTTGACGATTTTATTCGTTACTGGATTATTATCAGTTCTTGATAGACAAGTTTTTGTCGTCTCATCTTCATTATTTCGTACAATTTCATGTTCATTTTTTGTTGTATGACGTTTAATTTTTAAGACTAGACTGCTCTCATCACGTTGTTGTTGCTGTTGTTGTTGTTGTTGTTGTTTAGAATTAAATGGTCTATGAGATGGCATTGGTGAATGTGTATCAATTATATTCATATTGGTTATTTGCATCAAATTTTGCCGAGTAGCAAATGACGACGTGGATGATGATGGTGATATAAGGGACAAACTAAAATTCCCAACTATCTTTGCCACGTTTGGACGATCTTCTCTTTCTTAAGCGTATTAAAAATATAATGAGAAAATTCTATGTCGACACTAAAGTAATAAAGATAATAATGACGAAGCGAACAACATTGAAATAAATAAGTAAAAACGTTGATGTCGATATTAATTAACTATAAACGTAAAGGATTATAAATAAAGTCATTTTAGAGAGAGGAGAACAATAGGATTTTCTTTGTATTACGAAAATCTTAATTTAAAAAACTTGTTTATGCATATTCAGTATGTGTTTCATTGTGTATTGGGTCAGTCTCTGCATATATATTTTTCTTCTTCCATTGATGATTTTTTTTTCTCTTTTTCTTTATGTGCACGTCCCCCACAACTTGTTTCGTTTCTTTCCTTCTCTATCTCTCTCTCTCCCTCTCTCTTTAGCTCTCTGTCTCTCTCTTCTTTATTCGTTTGTTTTCTCTCGAGACGTAAAGTTTTTTTTTCTATTCAACCCTCTAAACCCTTCTATTCGTTTCTTTCTTCTAAATACACACATATACACACTAAGAGAAATTTCATCCTTCTTTTTTTGTGTACGAGAGCATACACACATATTCAAAGTAGTGTAGGCCTATTCTCATATGATTATGGTCTATGTCTAGTATGTATATGTGTTTGTACAGATAGAACTGTTGTATTATTCTATTACTCGTTTTCCGTTTTTTTCTCTCTCTTTCTCTATATGTAAAAACAGTATATATGTGCGCGCGCCTTTATGGATGAGTTTTGCGATCACACACACACAAATGGAGATTATAGAAATGCCGCTCAGTCAAACATTTTTTATATGAGTTATTTTTTCCACTAATGATAATTATGAAAGGATAATAATCTAGTACAATACGGGTAAACACGTATTTTATTCTTGAAAAAAACAAACGTTTTGTTTTATCGAATCTGTTTTTTTCGTCGTTTTAAATATAAAAGTTTGTTTCTCGAATATTCTACCTTTTCCTCTAATTTGTTCTAAAAAGAAATTAAAGAAAAATGAATAAATAGAAAAAAGAAATCGCTCGTTCTAAACTAATAGTGATACAAAATGCCTATTTTCTCGAAAAACGAAATATGAGAACAGTCAAATGTTAGGGCAAACCCTTCGAGAGCCAACTACTATAATAGAAAAAAAGGTAGAGTGCCAAGAATAGCATCCCATTAGAGACATCGAGTGTTTTTCTCTTCTAAGATCATATATAGTATAAAAACGATAAGAACCATGATAAACAAACGAACTGATGTAGAAACACAGGGCTTCTCTTTATTAGATGAATGCATACTGAAATGTCGAGAGACATGATGTATGTGTGAACGAAATTGACGCGATGAAACATTAATCAGTAATTCACAAAGACAAAAAGAAGAAAAGCATTAGGTACCAAGTCTAAGAATTTTTCAAATCCGATTATTTTCAACAATAGACATATATGTATAGAGATTTTCGCTGTGCATGGTTGATTATTACTATTAGGCGTCATTGATAACTGTCCGATTTAATGCATGAAGATCGAAAATATATAAAAGACAGAATATATAGCACATATGCACACATACACGTAATAAGATTGAAAATTGATCCATTTTGTTTTTCAACGATTTCTTTTCTTGTTTGAACAGATTATGTCTGCTCATTAAATTGATCCTGTTGTGTTTTATTTTAACAAGAATATATGTTGAATAGAATTCATCAAAATTTCAAGTTTAACATGATAATGTGTGAATAATAAAAGATAGAGAGTAAACGATTTAGCAGTTGTTGTTTTCCTTGCAGTTAAAGTTTGATCATTTCATATAATTGGAAATTTCGTTTAGCAAAACATTAGATATTTAGTTTTCTTCATGAATCAAAAAGCAAAACAGCTGTCAATCTATAGACCAGAAATAAACGTTCTCTATTTATCTAATTAGATCTTCTATCAAAAAATACATCTAAGCGTTATGTGTTTAAAATGTAATATATTTTTTATTTAAAAATTGTGTGTACACGTCATTGTTCTAGTTTCTTGATGAAAAAGAAAAAAAAAGTGAAACAAACAACTGTGTTACAATTGGGTCAATCGTATATTTTCTTTTTTTTTTTATAAAGAAAGAACGAAAAAAAACGAAAATAAAAAATTTTAAAAATTTTTATCTTATATACACACACAATACACACAAAGTACAAAAATAAAATAAATGAAAAAGAAAAAAAATGATGATTAGGATATAATTTTATGGTAATTATTTGCTTTTTTCTTCTTATTTTGATTATTGTTTATTATCTTCAAAGAAAAGAATAGAAGCTGTGTGAATGACAAACTCAATCTTGAATTAGATAAAATAAAATAAAAAAATAAAATAACTTTTCAGCAGAAATCACAAAAATGAGCACTATTCCTATTAGATTTACCTTCTTTGATTTAACAATTTAACTATGTTCTTTATCATTGAGAGTAAACAAATCTAGTATAAAAGTTTGAGTAATTTCTATAAAATTTTCAAAAATAATTCATAATTTCTTTCAATTGTTCCGTACTTTTTGTCAAGTAGTACTTATTTTCTTAACGTTTTGATTTCGATCATCTTTTTGATTTTGAACATCCCCATAGGAAGAAAAACTTAATTTCAAAATTTTTATTGTGTCTAAAGTAATTGACTATGGAGAGCCTGAATCTACAATCGACTTTTGTGAAAATGAGTTTTTCGATGACTATATATATAAAAAAAAGTGACGAAAAAGAGTATGAAAAAGAAACATATTTTGGTGACAAATTATTCGTCAGCTGGATCATCTGTTATTTTCTAACACGTATTTCTAAATATCAAATTTCCCATAAGATTATTTTTGTACATATTGGAAATCATTTCAATCTCTCTGAAGGATTTGTAATAAAACTATCATTTGACTATATAGAGTTAACGATTATTTGTCTAAAAATAAAAATCCTATGACATTTAGTTTGAGACTTCATTAGAAAATTATCCATATCCAAAAAATGTTTACAATTATTTCAATTGACAAATGATTAAATGTATGATGATTATGTAGTATAGTTGTGAATGTCATTTCCTTTGTGAATAAACCAGAATTTTATAAATAATCGTTTGTAATCAAGGACATTATTTATTTATAATGGGAGAAAAAGTATCTTATACATAAATATACGAAAAGGTGTATAAGAAAACAATGAGATTTGACATTTTTTCATTCCTATAAAAAAAATAAATAAAACGTGACTATCAGAAAATTAGAACAATTGTTTCTTTGGAGATTTGTATCTGTTATTGAATGAAAGGAGTTCATATAACAATCGTTCATATGGTCATGGAATTATAATCAACTCATACATAGAATGTGTACAGTAATATATAACTCAAAAACAATTTATTCTCTACTAATTAGAACTTATTATAAACAAAAAACGGTAGAATGATTTTTGAGCGAAATGTGATCATTATTGCAATCATATGAATGGATTTATCATTTTGTCATCACGACGGTTGATGAAAAAGAAGAAGAAGAAGAAGAAAAAAAAAGAAAAAGGGAATCACTATCGTTATTACAATCAGTAAAGAGAAAAACAGATTGTTTTCTTTTCCACAATGGCTTTTTCTTTCTTGTCAACTACAAAACGTTTTTTTTTCTCCACTTGAAAAAGCATTAGAATTTATTGGAGCGTTTTTTCTTTTCTTTTCTTTTTTTTTTTTTTTTCATCAATGTAGGATGAAATCACTTTCGAAAAAATCTTAGCTGCAAGACAGCAATTAACAAACACCTCAAATGTATGAATAAACGTTCTCTTTCATGGATCAGACTAATTAATAGAATGAAAAATTTAAATATAGTTGTTGTTGTTATTTGAAAGCATATGATTATTTTTAGATAGATTGAACAATAGTATTTTCTCTCATTTTTTTTTTTTTTTAGTTGGATTAGTTAGATGAAAAAAAAAAATTTTTAGTCTATAAGCGTTGTTGAATTGAAGAGAATACGCATCAATGAGAGAAATGATTTATGGACAGTTATATTTATCATATTGCTAATTCGTCAACAAACACTTTGATATATGAGGGAATCGTCTTATTTATCCATCAACATCCTTCTATTTTTGTCGAATACATTCATCTTTTTTTCTCCTTTATATTCACATATATCTATATTCATATAAAATAACTACTGTCAATTTCATCTATAAAGTATATGTACGACTCTCCTATTCATCGATGTGTCTATATTATATGAAGTCTATTATGTGTGTATATGTATGTATATGTCTATTTTTAGATTGTTTTTTAATGTAACCATCGAATTGAACATAGTGAGTGTGACTACGAGGTAGAAAGAAAAACAAAATTTTTGACTGTTTAAAAACTGATATGTGTAACATACATACAGACTAGTTAGAACATTTAATACTTATTACTACAATTTGATCTCGTTTTTATTCGTCATTACGTACTATTCAAGAAAAAATTGTGTAAATTAAAAACTTATAAAATGTAAGCTAATTTAAACTTTGCATAAAATAAATAATTGTGATAGAAAATAAACTAATTAATATAAAACTCAAAATTTTGATCAAAACAAATCTATCAATTCTTTCTTAACAATATTTTAAATTATAAGGTGAACATCGACTATTATTATATTTTTTCAAATTTATGTGAAGCGATAATTTTATTTGTTTTCTTTGACGTTTCATGTACATACAGAATGAAATTTTCATATGGTATATTTGTAATGATGAACAATCACCTTCAATTAGACAATGAGTTTTATAGCTATACTTATTCTCACTCTAAACATATGATCGATTTTTTATTATCTGTACATACATGTACAATGCCCATTTTCAGTGAGAAAAACGAATGAAAAAGATGAGATTAACTGACAACAGAAAGAAATAGGAAATTTATTAAAAAATTCTACATCACTGATGAATAGGAGGGGACTATAAGGAGAAAAATCTTTTTAAATTTTCTAGAATTTAGGACTATGCTGAAGTTTTTTTCCGCATAACTAGTACAAAAAAAATTTCTATATGAAACGATGATTGGCATGAAAGTCCACGGAAAGCAAAGATGTTCATCTATTGATGAGAAAAAAAATGGTGATGGTGAGAATATATTCGCATTGACAAAATCTTAAAAGCATTATCATTGAGTTCTTTTTTACACAAAACGATTCTTGTAAACCTTGTTTGCTTGGTTATAGAGCTAAGTAAATCAATAATTTTACCCGTTTATAATGAAGTACTGGACAATGTTTATTTCCCATACACTGATGCTCTTTGTTTTTGTAGCAAAAAAAGTATGCAGCTGAAGATATAAATTAAAGTTCGTTGTCGTTTATCACGGAGACAGACGAATATACCTTTTTTCTCGAACAAATTAGTATGCGTACGAATATTAAACAACTATACCCGAGTGGTACTCTGGTCCATGTTATTGGAAAAAACTGAAGATTTTTTATTTTACTTATCGTATAGTTTTCAAGGAACTACAATTTTTTTTCTCATACTTTATTCTTTTTGCCTAAGAGTTTATTTTCAAATATATTATCAATCAATATATACCGGATATACGTTTAGATCAACTTCTAAAACTAAAGTGCATTCTATATTCAGCGTCAAACATTTCAAAGAGTGCTCAATTTTGAAGCGGAACTAAACGAAACGTTTGTTCGTGTTTATTCAAAAGACAATGAAATTGTTCAAACCTCTACTTTTAAAAGAAGATAAAAATAAGTGACTAAAAAGTATTTTTTACTTAATATCGAAAAACGTACGATGATAGCTCCAGTCTTCAAAGTAATGCAAATATAATGCAAATAAGACAAGTTAACTAAGAAATAATCATGGCTTCTCTTTTTTCATAACTAGGAATAGAGTTCTTGTTCAATCAACACTTAAAGAGAAGTATTCGAAGAATTTTCTGCAAAGAAATCTAGGGTACGAGTACAAGAAATTTAAAATGATACTCGACTACTATTTATCTCTATTCAAACAACACTCTATACAATCCTAAACGTCGAGAAAAAATATATTATCAGTTAAATAATTACTCAAAATCTTATTTTTATTATTAAAACAAAAAGTCAAAATTCATATTCATTCTTCTCTATTTGCTTTCTACTCTTCAACGTTATTAAATTGGACAAATAAAATGTACATATACACGTAAATTTGATAAGAACAAAAAACTCAATGAAACGTACTCAATTATAAAAATTACAATATTTGTCTAAAAAAAGAATCTCATTTCAGATATGTGTGCGTGTGTGTGTGTGTGTGAAGAAAAAAGAGAAAAATAAGTTATGACTTCTGGCTGAAGAAATTAAATTTTACTAAATATCAGTAACGTCTAAATTTAATTCGAATGTATCTACAATTTAATTTTTCTTTTCATACTTGACTACACATTGATCTCTTGTACAGCAAAGTGACATGGGATATTTATAGACAGTGTTTTATGTTTTTATAGTACCTTGAATATAATTATAAATAAATTTTATTCCTAGAAACTCACATTCAACAGTCATAGACAGACATCATTTGTCAGTTATCGACTGATGTAAAAATCTTGTAAAAAATTCATTAGTATTTCGTGTTAATTAGTGTTAATCAATTTGTCAGGTATATTCATCAACTATTTATAAATATCCCGCTCGTGGTAATAACTGACAAATACCTCAATTTATTTACACGGGTTTTCTCGAAATCAAGTCCATGTAAAACAAACAAATTTTCTGCAGTGATAATTTTACAAAATAAAATTTTCTCGAAAATGAGATGACATTTGATTTTATATGTGATACATTAGTGAAGAGTGTGTAGAAAAGTTTGTCAGCGTTGCTCTAGAGAACAAAAATGTGAAAATTTCCTTTCTGGGCATGCGCATAGCAAACACTACGCCGTTCGTGTCCTGTCGTTTCTCCGTCATATATTTTCAAACTGAACAGTTAATTGAGAGTTGAGTTAATCGTTAACATACAAATCTTTATAAAAAAAAGAATATTAAGAGAAAGTATTATAAAATAGTAAACTCTTGTACTAAAACTGCAACGATTCTCATTATTAAGTTTACAGCGCCAAAAAAATGTTCAACTTCAATATTTTACACTTTTAAAAATAATATTGTCACTCTTTTTCTTAATGCATTGTATTGTTGTAAAAAAAATTGCTTTTTATTCATATCAAATTAGTATTAATTTATGATGTCTTTCGTGCTTCTCTTTTTTATATTATGTGAGTGAACATGTGTATAGAATTCGAAAACAATTCAATCTGTTCGTGATTTTTTTTTATTCGTGTTTGATTTCTTTTTTTTTTTGTTGTTGTTGTTGGCTTTGTTATAATAATAATGATTACGAAATACAAATAGAAGAGAAAAAACACTATAAATATGCATATATAGCTCAAGAAGCTATGTGGACAAACCTCTCGTTTTACGACAATATTTTTCTTTTTTTGTTCTTTGAAAAAGAAAGAACAACAAAAGAACCGACGATTATACAATTATGTATAAGAAAAAAAACTCTAGAGGCGTATATACATATATATATATATATGACGAAACGAACAAAAATCATTCGACTAGAATTGATAAACTGAGACTGACGTACATACATATAAAAAGAAAAATGGAGAAAAACGAGAATAGAATGCAGCTGTCAAACTATTAAATATGCCCTAGTAGAAGTAACAAAATAACATTTTCAGTTTATGAAACTATTCTGAACTGAGGAAAGGATTACACACACATACACACACACACATTAGTATAAACAACAAAAGAATAAAAAACAATGGCTATGCCATACATATTACTAGGAAAAGAAACAAAAAGCACCTTGAAACCATATAACAAATGTATATATATGGATAGATAGTTGAATGAGTAACAAAATAATCTGGCGTGAAGAACAAACACATTAGGTCATTCAAAATAATGTGTTCACTTGAAACGTTTTAAAATGCATCTTGCTATTTGGTTCCATTTTCTTTTTCTTTTTTTTTTTTCATCTTTATTAGAAGTCATATAGTTGCACATCGATCAGGATGAGAAGAAACGAAACATAAATTGCAATTTAATTTATCTATAAGAAACATACACAAAAATGAACAACGTTATCTTGAAGATTTAGAATAGGTTGCAGCTGCTTGATATCTTGAATGATTTTGAGCGTGCAATAATGAATTAAAATATAATTGTTGTTGAACAGGTGATGGTAGTTGTAAATAGGGTGATGGTGCTTTAGTATTTAACATATTTTTTGTTGTTGGTGACAGACGTTCACCGCCATGATGTGGAGGAGAAGATGATTGTTGTTGACGTGTTTGTTGATAACCGAGAAATGCAGCAGCCATTTCAGGTCGAAATGGAGAAAACGGAGACATTGGTGGCGGTTGATGATGAGGTGAAAAATATGACTGATGATACGGTGATAATGACTGGTAAGACGTCGATGGTGACGGTGACGCTGGTATAGATTTTATTTTATTACTATTCGAATTATAAGCAGTAGTACTATCTAATTTCGAACAAGATTTATTTGATTTAGAACTATGATGAGATTTTGAAAAATGATGATGATGATGTGAAAATCTGTCGTGATTTTTCGATTGATGACTAGTATCTGACGGAGATGTTCTTTTTTGAATAAAATCCATTTTTGTAGTAGTTAATAAAGGTTTTCTGTTGTCATTTATAGAATCGTTTATAGATGATATTTTGAGTGAATCATTACATGGCATATTTTCAATTGCGATTTTTTCGGTATCTTTGCCTAGTTCTGTTGTTGTTTTACTCAAATCGATGGGAGTTACTGATTCAACATGAGTGTCATCATGATTGTTATTCGTTTTTAATTCATTTTTTATTTCAGTCTTTGCTTCATTGCATGTTGTCTGTGGACTACATGTGGTACTAAATCCTGAGCTCGTACTACTTTCATCATCATCCTTTCCATTCGTTGAATCACTATAATTTGATGGTGCTGCTATTGCTGTTGACAACCCATTTTCGTTATCGATTATAGTTTTATTCAAACTAGATGAATTATCTGATACTGGTTCTGTAGTCAATGAATCTAATTCATTTTTAACTAATCCCATGTCGGGTGAAAGATCTTTTGATATTGTTGGCGTTGTTGGAAGAGGTGGCACTTTAAAATCACCTGGTGATGCAGGTTGTATCGTTTGTTGTTGAATAGCAGTTCCACGACGTTTACCATTGCGAAGTATCCTTTCTGTTGGTTCATTACTATTCGTATCGGCTGGTGTTTGAGTACTAGTACCCGATATAGATAAAGGATTTGATTGGGATAATGATAAGGACGATGATGATGACAGCAATGGTAAAGATGATGATAATGTATTATAATGATTATTTTTTAGCCGATGATTTTGTCTTGGATCATTTTTATATCTATAATATCAAAATAACATTTGCTATTAAAAATATTTAATACGTTAATTTTTGTAATTTTATCCAAAAAATGAAGCTAATAGCCTTTATCTTTTTTTATTACTCTTTATGATCTTTTTGATAGAAAAGAAAAGATCTATTATTATTTCTTAAATCAACTTAATTGTTTTTTAACTGTTTTAACGCTAAACTATATTATTTTCTTTTTCCGACATACCTGGGAGGTGCCCAGTTTTGTTCGGTTGTATTTAGCAGTGCTCCAACGTATGTTTTTCCGCGCCATGTCACATTAATTACAAGTACACCTAAAGAGAAAAAAAAAAGAAAAATATATTGATGATTAAAGGAAAGAAAAAATGAAGCCGACCGAACGAAAAAAAAAATCGATTAACACTTTGTGTATGCGTTTAATAAAACATTGCATATTAAATAAATTTATCATTATACCTTTATCGGTTTCATTCCATACAATTCCTTCAAGTAAAACCGATGAACCCGGTTCACAAGGTCCGAATGCATCTTGCTCTGTATGAACACCGATAGATGATACAGAGCCATTTGATGAGCGATTCACTCGTGACGGTAATGGTGTTGATGGTATGGTTGTATCATCGTTACTATTTTGTCGTTCAACATTAGATAATGTAGCACATTTTCTCTAAAAAAACCAAGAAAAAAGAATAATCACTACTTAATTGAAGTAACAAAACTGTTAAACAGTTGCTGACATGATGTACATAATTAAAAAGATCAAAGTATTTTTTTTCTATCATACGCTTATTCTTCATATAGACTTGTTTTCAATTAGTAAATAGTTTTCAAGTAGAACAGTATTTAATTGACAACAATAAGAGAACTAATTGACAGATTAGCTATCCGTTAATGTCCCACAGACACGTATATTATCATTTATTCACGCACGAACACAATAGGACAAGTGTTGAAAAGAAATAAAACAGATGTGTATATGAGGGAAAGAAAAAGAAAAGAAAATGAATGAATCGGTATAGAGAAAAGATATCATATTTATATCCTATAGGCGCTTTTTCCATTAGTGGCTTTCACAACGAGACAAAAATGAACTGTGCAAGTGCTGATGGCTATAACTAACTACAGATACTCAATCGAAACAAAGTAAAATAAGTTAAATTCTTAAGGTAGTGTTAGATCCATTAGCAAGTATAAGCAACTTCAAATTTTATGAAAATTAAGCAATAAACGTTGAAAAACAGTGCTCATCTCAACTAATTAATCTTACTTTTATTAGGCAAAACACGTTAGAGATAAATAAGAATATTGAACATGAAATTAATTGAAAAAATAATTGTAAAACGTTCTTACTTTTGATTTAGTTGATTGTCTTGTTTTTTCATTATTACTATCAACGATACAATCAGTGGTATCATCAGTATTATTTTCACTGTTTAATTTTCGTTTTCTTGATGTTTTTGTTGTTTTAACTTTCACTTGAACTGTTGTAGTCGTTGTAGTGGTGGTGGTCAATGTATCATTTTCACTCTTTTCACTTTCATTATCTCCATATTCATTACATATATTGTTATCATCTGCTATAGTCGCAGTTGATGACGAATTAATATTTTCGTCTGTTTTTACTTTCGATAATAGTGGGATCACTGCTTTTGTATTGTTAGTGGTTAACATTGTAGCAGACGTTTTATTATTTACTTGCTGTTGCTGTTGTTGTTGTTGTTGTTGTTTATCTTTATCGTGAATAATTTCATGATGCGTAATTTTACCGTGATATGTATTACGTTTTATTTTTAATTTTAAACGTTTTTTTCCTGCTGCTGTTGTAGCGAGAGACGTTGATGAATGATGAGCGTTTGTAGTATTACTATCAGATGAAACTGTATTGATCATACTTCGTATATATTTCGATAAAATTATAATAAAAAGACCATTTTTATTTGCTTAATAACGATATGTCATCTATAATAGAGACAAAAGCAATGTTGAAAAGTGAACAAAACAAGCCCTTTATAAGGTCACGCAAACCAGTACTTTTGCTTACAATGATCATCGTAATACAATTAGTTAGCTAGCTATACTATTGTCTGATAAACAAATAACGAAATAGAAACATCATTTCTCATTTTTCTCAAAATTTATTTGGCGATTGGACAATTACCCGTCGTTATCAGATAGATGAATGCATATTTATTGACTATGAATTTCTCCAATAGTATCACTATCTAATCTATGACAATCTAATTTTATAGTAAGAAACCAAGAAAATGTTTATTACGAATAATTAATATAAAATATAGAGTATAAGTTGTTAACGAAGCGTTACTTTCATCGAAAATATAGGTATAATAATTAGAAAAAAAAAAAAATCTAATGATGTAAAGACTTTTTTTTCAAAAAAACCTTCAAAATTTCTTTCCTTAGAGATGTGTACTGTAATCATCTAATATGGAAATTGTCTACTCATTATGATTTAAAACAAGAAATTTCTATTCTATATTGGCTCACATAGAGAAATGAAAGTCATCCACTCACTCTTGGTTAAAGATCTACCATGTACATAGATATTTATATGACAGATAATTGTTGATCGACTAAGAACAGCTGGATTTTTCATGCGTGCTTGCATGTTAATATATCTATACATATATTTTCAACAATCTTCCTCTGAAAAAAAAAAATGATTGCCTCGAGAACGAGAATAGGCCACTTCACAAACACACTCTACTATATTTTTCTTTTCTTCTTCTTCTATTTTACGCTTGTCGAACACTATGGTATCGTACAATTATACATTTAGTTGTGATATGTAATCACAGTATGTGTGTATTTATGCCGAGAGACACATGAGATGAACAGAAAAAAAAAAAAAAAAACACGAAATTCATTAATGACTCCCAAACCTCTTTGAAATAAAAAAAAAAAATAATGTTGTACATATAAAATATGTATAACCGACGACAAAATGATTAGTAATGTGTGCACTTATGTTATTTAGATTAAAAAGAATAAAATTCGGCATTTTTTAGAGCAAAAAAATCAGATTACAACGGGAAACTATGATTAGTTTAATGAACTAAAAAAATTAATTAACTTTTACTCGTTTAATAGATTTACAATTTACACATATTTGAAATTTTTCTATCTTTTGTCAACAAACATATATGAAGTTTAACATGAGATATTTAATTAAATCTAATTTGGAAGATTGTTTTGGTTCTAATTTACTCAAATGTAGATTTGTAATTCAAAATTTATCATTTTATTTAGTATTTTTCTATAGATTAACTGTTGCCTCATCATTCAGTCTGATATAAAGTCTTTGTGCACTCATACTAACTCGTGTTTTGCTCGAGAATATCATTATCCTCATGATTTCGTAAAATTTTGCAAATCAAAGACATTTAACTCTCTCTGCTCATATGAAATTAACCTATCAAACAGATTTTATCATACTAGGTATAGTCGGTTATCTTTCATGTTATTATTTAGAGGCTAAGTCATTTAATAAATATTTAATTTCATTGTATTTATACTAAGTAAATATAACGTGTGTATGTGTGATTATTAGAATTTTTTTAAAAACTACAGTAATTTTTACATATAACTGTGACATCTAGAAACGACCTTGATAAAATTATTCTTTTGCTCACTTGAACGGTGACAACATGACAATAGTTACTCCATAAGCAAAACAATTCAATCTAATATATATTTTACAATTAAAATTTTAAAAATTGCTTTCAACAACAAACTATAGCTGAAACTAACAAGAGATGATTTAATCCGAAATAGCACTATTACAGTTACGTATAACAGCTATTATATAATTTCATTTTTGACGGATTATGTGACTTTTTCTCTTTTATATACATACACACACAAACCACTCGACATCAAAATTATTTGATTAAATATTGACCAAATATTCATTTACATACCTATTGTAATAGAAAGAGAAAAAGTCAATCGACTAAAGACATCGCCATAGGGGGTTTGTGTTAAATACACAATATATTTTTTTTTCTTTTTGATCTATGTAGTATGAGTACTACAAACACATACACATTTGTTTTCTTTTAACAAAATTAATTAACACAATGGCAAATGAAAAACAGAAGGCGACGTTGTCAACATGATAATGTGTTTGACAAAATCTGAATAAAATTAATAGATCTTCTACATTGAGAGAAAGTTACTTAATTTAGTTAGTTTAAGATAAAAAGTAATGAAAAACATCTTGATAATAATATAATCTGGAGTCTACTACTCTAAAAAGACTAGTACATTCATGAATGTAATCTAAATGTCAAGATTGAAAATTAGATCAAAAACTAATGATTTGTTTTCAAAGATTATTTAGAAAACATACTTTGAATTATTATAGAACAATGAAAGATATGTCGTTTGATGCTACAGAAAAAGACAAAAAAAAAAAATCGACGAACTTTCTGTTAGTTATATGCTAAATAGTTATTTATTAATCTGTAAATTTACTTGACGGGTGTTTTATTTTATTTTTTTTGTCTAATCGACTAATACAATCAAGATCATGTACTTTGATTGAATTCAATTAAACATAACGTCATTATCAACATAAGACAATTATTTTAATGCGAATTCGCTATATACATACAACTGTAATTATTATTGATTAACTCATACTCTCATATGTTTCTTTTGTTGTTCTAAAATTTATTACTAATAACAAGAAAAACTAATCAACTTTAGAAGTATATTTACCATTATCGTTTGTGCTTATGAGACTACTTCTTTTCAAGCGATTGTAATTGTGTGTGTGTGTGTGTGCCGATGATCGACAACAACGAATGTCAAAATGTTACCCATGTCTTTTTTATCGTCGAAAAAATAAAATAAGAAAAGAAAAAAAAAAAATAACTGTTTTGATAGAGATGAGTTTTTATGTCAATGAATAAACTCAACTGTCTAAAAATTATGCATTTATATATAGAAACATATTTATCCAAATAGCGGTAGAGAAGACAACAACAATAGAACTAACTCATCGGAAACACTCATCAAGATCAGATAGAAAGAACGCGATTCATGTTTCAAAATTTCTTTTCTTTCTTTCACATTTAATTAAATGTCTTTTTCTTAGACATTGACATTGTACGAATAAGGTCAAGTTGTGAAAATAGTTTGCTAATCATTAGCAAAAATTTCGACTGGATTGATTTGATATTAACGATAGTACATTTAAATACTATAGAATTTAGCCTTGCTGTTAGCAAAATGTTATAACCTTCACTTCTATACAGTTGAGATAAGAAAAATTTAAAAATGGATCGCTTACCAGGATACAAATACTGTTTATAATGGATTAATTAGTTTTTTTAGAAAATATTACTCTTTTTTTTTTTTTTATTGATATTCATCTAATTTTAATCTCTCTACCTATTTCATATACGTCTATTTGCTAGTGTATGTGTTGTGTGTATGCTATTTATAAAGATGTTTCTAAAGTGTTTATACAGATAGAGAAGAGTAGGAGAAAAGGAAACAAGTATAAATGCATGGTAGATATATAAAACGCGTGTGCAATAACGAGTCCGGATTGAGATTAAAAAAAAGGAAAAAGAAAAGAACCGTTTTAATTGTCAAGAGGAATTAAGAAAGAAAACGAGATAGTTCATTAGGATACATCTCATATTACAGGAAAAAATACGCGTTTTATGAAATGAAGTCCTAGGTAGATAAGACAAATTTCAAACCTGTCTGTCTGATATATTATTGTCAAAAACTGTTTATATGTTACACATACACACACAATCAAAAATAAAGCCTTTTAATTCATACAATCATTCTTTTTCTCTCTCCCTCTCAATCTACTTACTCTGTGTGTCTATTTGCATGTATGTGTATGTAAAAGGTCAATAGAGTCATCAAAAAGGAAAAAAAATGTATACACATCATGCAGCTCTCACCATAGAAGAAAAAGTTGCTTACTAGCTATAATATTATTTACCAGATTATCATCAACATCGTAATGCAATGTATACACATAGTTAACGTTCGTTCATCATTTCTTTATCTAAGCTAACCCGAATAACAGAATGAAGGACGATTAATACTTTATATCGATAGAGTATGTTTATGATGGACAGTTTTTTTTCATGCCGACATTATCGACAAATCTTAGTAACGATGTCCTACCGAGTCAGAAAAGAAGAGAAATATGTGTCATTGAAAAATTGTTTTGACTATATAATCGCCAAACTAAATAGGTGACAACAATTTATGACAAAAAAAATGTTGACAGGTACATTTCTGATAGTACAAGTCATACCATTTGCATCCAGCTCAACAGCATCCTCTAATTTATTAATAAAATTGAAAATAAGAAACAATTAACGCTAGTTCATTAAACTCTAAAATAAAAGAGTCATCGTTATTTTGGAAGGTATAGTGTGTATTATAAGATGACGGACAAAGACTTCATATAAGCAAATAAATCTCATCGAAATAATAAAAAGCAAATTTTTTACAAAAAAAAAAAGAATTTTGGGAAAAGTAAAGAAGCAGGGTACACTGAACGGTAAAAGAAGATGAACTTTGGTGAAGAAAAATTTATACACTAAATTGTTCTACTTTTTGAAGACTATACCATATACTAAACAGAAGAGAAATCAATAAATAATACAAGTAATTTGAAATTGATCTTTTATCCGTAATGACAAAAAAATATGACAATTTTAATCGGTTGGACGAGTATTAAATAATAGTTAGAAAATTTCTTAGATCTTTTACTCTTAACTGCAGAGGCTAAATATGTTTTAATATATCATCTTGTAACAAATAAATTTTACTCTACGCTAATCTACTCACTCTCGGTTTCATTTATCATGTAACAAGTATTACCTTGATTTAAA